CGCGTGTGTTTCCTCATGCCGCCCCACCACATTCCGCACCAGTGGAAAATGCTATCAAAGCTCTTTCGGTTCTCCGCGACCTGTCGATTTTCACATGATCCACGCCACTAGTAGCGCAGAGCAGGCCTGGTCCTTTCGGCGCAAACATTTATCTATTTATGGCTATTTGTGTGCAAAAAGGGCTCTACGTTGTTCGAATACACAGGGATGAAAATGCGCAGAAGTGGTTCTACGTACCTAAAGACAATGCATGCCGACTCAAGGAATCCGGGTAGTAGCTATACGAGCTGAAATGTGCAAAAAACGGCTTCTCCCTCGGCGACGTCGTTGCCCTTGCTGAGGGCGAGGTGGACGCTATGTTGCTGGTGCTCAAGGATTGGAGAACTCGTCATTGTTTGGGACATCATCATGTAATCTGGGCGTGTAGGCGAGCCGTTGGATATGTGTATAAATGGCTGTAAAAGTGACCGTTTCTCTATTTACACGTACTTGCGCACAAAACTGCAAAAGTAAAAGTGCACTCGTAAACATAAAGACCAAGCTTGGTGCGGACCATGTGAAAATCGACCAAGTCGTATCTATAACGCACGAGTTTCAACTTTTCAATGCAGTTTAAGCGCAGACTCGTTCAAAGGATGTCCATTAGTTACAATCCTGTTTCCAGAGATACGTCCGCTTGTTCATATGGACCTGCGGCGAACTTCATGAAGCTCTTGATCGATTGCACTTTACGGTTTTCGGATGCAACACGTACATAAGGATATATGCTACTTCCAGAAACCTAAGGACTGCTTGAGGTATCCCACAGGTTTACCTTTTACGAATTATAAACACTTTTCAGCTTTTCGGATGCTATGCATATAACCCTCACTAACAGAAAACACCATGCTTGCGATGCCAATTGCGATGCCAATTGCGATCCCAATTGCGATGCCAATTGCGATGCCATTTTGACACAAAGTGGCGCCATGACTGTCGTTGAGATGGCACAAAAGTGGGTGTGACGCCACCAATTAGTGTCGAATAGCATCGCAGTTTGCATCTCAAAGATATCGTTTTCCACTGGTGTCTGCGATGCCAACCACGATGCCAGTTTGACACGAATTGGATTCATCGCAGAAGTGGTGACCACATACAGGTGGGTCCGACGAGATCGAATAGCGTCAAATGCCGTTGCTGCTGGCATCGCAAAATGTCGTTTCCTACCATAGCATATTCAACCCTTCCGCATAGCAACGCAAATCTTGGCCTTTTCTGCAGAGAAAACGACATAACGAATAGCGCTCTTTCAATAAACTTTCGCGGAGCAACGCAAAAAATTAATATTTAAAGTAAGGCTCTGAAAAAAATGCGGAGCAAAAAGCGTAATATTAATCGCTATTGGTGACCGCAGCCGCGACGTTCCCCTTCCCCCTCGTCCTCATCACAGCGATGTTCAGACCCCCGTTCAGGCACGACCTCCCGCCCGACGGCCCTTAAGTACTATCGCCCGACGTCTCCGCGCGCCACAAAGCCCGCGCACGCCACCAATCGCCCCCGCCCTCCACAACTGGCAAAGACGTCCCAACGGCAAGGCAGCGGGCGCCCGTCGGAAAAGGGTGAACGAGGAAGCGAGGGAGATCACAGAGGCGGCTGCATCTCGGTGAGAGTAAGAATTCGCTGTTGTGATCTTGCCATGCGAGGCGCCAGCCAGTTGTTGGGCCGGTCGTCAGATCGGCAGCGGGGGAGGGGTGGTTACCGCGGTGCGGTCCCTTCCCTGGCGGCCGTCCGGGGGAAGGGAGGTCGCGGAGGCGGCTCGAGCGCGGTGAGGATTGTGATTTGTTGTCGCGATGCCGAGATGCGATTGGCTTGGCCAGCTGTGTCGCCGGTCGTCATGTCGGTGGGGAGGGGCGGCCATTGCCGTGTTGCTGTTCTTTCTCTGGAGGTAGAGAGAGGTTTGGACAGATTGGACAACGGGAAGTGGGGGGAACGGGGGGACGGGGGGGCGCCGTGCGGGGTGCACGAAGGGGTTGTGGATGTGTTGGATTTTGGGCGCCAAGTCGGTTTGGGCGCGGCGACTGATGGATTCTGCATTGTCTGCGGCGCGCAGGGGGCGGATGGCGAGGATGTACCCTTCTGCGCGGCTCGCGACGTCGATCTTGGTGGTGCGTGGGGCCACAGTTGTCGACTCGTGGTCGACGCTGGCTGGACTTTCCGCAGCGGCGGAGTTCCACGGATCGCTCGCCCTGCCCCTCCGCCAGAAAGCTTCTAGTGGCGCTGACGCGGGCGCTCCCCCGCCCGAACGGACTGCCTGCAGACCCACCGTTTGATTTGACCCCTCCAATCGCTTGATTCCAACACCTCTCTTTGCTGAACACGTTGGGGATTCGATGCACACCGCGCCTGCCGTGGCCACTGCGCTTTTGCGTTGGGGCGCTTCTTGTCTTCGCGTCCGCCGCGCTGCACGCCAGCCGCGCCTGCATCTTGAAGAAGGATGCTGCATCGCCTGGGAAGGGACATGTTGCCTCCCACTGTGGCATTCACGTCCAGGGCGACGATCGGCACACCGCGGTGGGCCGACCCGCAACCGGGGATTGCACCGAAATGATTTGCGCTCTTTGATATGGTGTGCTTTGCTCCCTGCAGGTTTGCCTTTGCGCGCGGCACGTCGCCGAGGCTCACCCAGGTGGGAGCACTTTGGGGCCGCTCAATAAGCGAAACCGGAGACGGCAAAGCAAAACAATCAGCTGCTATACGCCAGGCACCGTCGCCCGCCGGCAGGCCACGGCGAGCGCAGCCGGTGATCTCGAAAGGCGCGCCGATTGATCTGATCGAAGCGGCGAAATGGCGCGAACACTGCGCGTCGATCGCGGCAACTGCAACCGGCGAGCAATCGCAATCAGCAGCGTTGTCACACCAACATCAACACCAACACGAGTCCGCGTCGCGGATAGACCAGTGTTCTTTCCTGAACGCACTCTTCTTCGTAAGTTTCTCTTTTCCCGGATGCTATTTCTCTGAAGTCGGCCGGGATCTGTCGCACGTGCAGGCAACTTTCGCTCGCTGCTTCAAGGGAATTCGGTGAGTGCATCGTCGCGGACCAGGCAGTCTGATGCTGGGAGGTCGACGGCTGTGGCGACTGCCAGCTCCGAGGTGAGCCAGGGTCGGGCAACCTGCCGACAGGGATCGGGACTGGGGCTTGCTCAAAACGGACGTCTTCTTTCGAAAGACAGACATTTGGTGCACTTCCACATGTCCACGCACCTTTTGAACATGCACCAGTGTCAGCAGCCGCAGACATGTGTTTCTGTCAGGCAGTGAAGCTAAAAGTGGGGTATCACAGCCACGGCTGCATCCGTGTCGATCATCCATTGAAACAAAGCTGCCTACAAACAAGGCGACCGCAGGCTGAATGGGGCCCCTGGTGAAATTCCCCATTTCAATGTGAGGTTGTGGCAATCGAATTCCTATTTTTGGCAATGGTGGCCCAGCGATGTTGCTTGCCGTGATCCAGATACCCTTTGCTGCTTGAGGCTCTGAAAGTCCAAACCGCCAATCTCTGCAGTAGCATCAACTGAACGTCACAGCTGAAGCGCAGCAATACATTCCGTTGCACAGAATGTGCATGAGACTGTGCCCAGGATGCACAGTAATACATCAGTGCACTGCTTACTGCAGTATTGATCGCCCGATGGCTTCAACGGCTGCAAGTCAACAGCCATATATTGGTAAACGCATTTGACACAGATCTGCAAGCACATTACAACAGTTGCCCTGTGCAGTTCAATCTGCTTGACAGCAAGGTCTGCAGCACTGCACATTCACTTTGGGGACTACGCTGTGATTTGTACATACAGCAAATGGCAGAAATGAAATACGTCTTTCCAACTTGGCCATGCTGGCTATCCATCCTACATTCCACAAAGATGGCAATTAGTTCACTAACTTCATTAGTGCTGTTAACTTGAAACAAGAAACTGCGATGACCCTCATATTGTGTACACACACAAAATGGAGCCTCTTTTCTTTCTTCTATCTCTTCTTCATGTCAAATTTCCAGGGCTGGGCTCAATAGGTTGTTGCTGCTCTCTGCTATGGGTACTTGGGAGATCTTATAGATTGTGATGAAGGCATAATCCAGGCACTGTCCTGTGCTGAAGCTCCATGCAAACTGAGGAAGAGCAACAGACCAATGAGATAATGATATGGGCCCCAGAACTTCTTCCATCATGGTGAATGGATATTTTCATGTGGTGCAGTGGCTGGTTGACACCCAACTGAGGATCTTAAAATACAACAAATGCCTGTCTGCACGTGTAAACAACATCTTTCTCTAGGCCATTGTAGATGGAACTGTGTCAGACAAACACAAAATAGAATGCAAATGTTACCTCAAGAAGACACTGGAGCCCACATCTGACAACCATGGGGAGTGCATCACACGCTGAACAACCGAGAAATGTCTTTCAAAAGCTTGTGACAGCCTGGGAATACTTCTCAAAGGGAAGTACTTGTCAGTGTCTGCCAGTGTCGATAGGCCACATGCCCCTTGGGAAATTGTCAAGCCGATTGTGGCATGAGTTTCCTTGAAGAACACAGGTGCTAATCGTTGATGCGCCTTACAGTCTGCGCTGCCCGTCAGACACTCAAAGCACGCCGATTTCAGCGCAAGCAAAGGAACAAGGCCAGATCCCAGTCTTTTGACTCCAACAACAATTAAAGCCGACTCCGAAGCACATATGAACACACAACTAGCCGCCACTTCCCTTCGTTTCCGCTTTTCATTCCAGCTGCCACGAATCCATCCTCAACATTGGATATGCCTTCACGGTATGCGCTCCTCATCTCGCACTGGAAGACTCCACATCATCCTTTCACAGCATAGAAAACTTTGTCACAAGCATTCTTTTGTGCGGGGATGCCCTCCTGTGATCTGACGTTCTCTTGGAGCGAAACAAAGCCAACCCACCTTTGGATCGCGCCCCACTCCTCCTTCCTTTCGACGATGCATTTTTCCAAGGATGGGTTCTTTCAACTCACCGCGCCCCGCCTCCCACGCGACCCAGGTGATCGAGGAGGCCCAGAGCGAGATCGCCACGGCCGTGTCCAGCTCCCTGGCCAGGGTGGCCAACAACCAGGGCACCGCGCTGGCGGAGGCCTTAGCCTCCGCCAAGGCCGTCGCCACGGGCTACGTCAAGGTCGTCGTCAGCGCCGGCGTGGAGGTCTCGGGCACGAGCGGAGGCTCGGACGCGTGCGGCTCTGCGCAGGCGTCCGGGGAGGGCGAGGCGACGGCGACGGCGGAGGCGGTGGCGCGGGGACTGGCGCAGGCCAACGTGGGGGTGACGGAGGCGCAAGCGGACGGGGTGGCCGAAGCAGTCAGGACCGCCTCGCTGCAGGTGGGTGGGGGTTTGTCCGACGACAATCATCACCATCATCTTCATTTTTGCAGGACAAGGCAATGAGGTGGCCGTCAGCTTCCTGTTTTGCCGACGACAATCACTCTTTCGCCAGAAATGAATTTCATGAAGGGGTCATGGGCGCGTGATCGCCATCCGTCACATTTGCATAACAAGGCAACGAGGTAGTGTCCACCATCAGTTCATCGGAAACTAATGTTTAACACAAACGAAGTCTATGAATCTATAAACTCCCGATGCCGAGAAGTGATTGTCGATGATAATAGCTAAAGGCGTCATGAAGGTCGTCGAGATTACGAGAGCAATGGCAAACTCAACCCTAAAAACCGTAATGAAACTAAATGCCCGTCATGACCCACTTGTCCGGAAATGTTGGGCATCGGACATTTGCTGCATGTGGAGGCCCTGTCGTCATTTTTACCAATATTGGTTCAGTCCAACCTCTCCTGAGAGGGACGTGTTGCATAAATTGTCGTCCATTCATGAAATTGTTACACAGCAAGAAAAGGTGGTCGTATGGAGCTTCGCATCGTGCTCGAGCTGATCGGTGTCCATGATTCGTATATTGAAATCCAATGTACAACGCGAACAAATCCAGAATTCACCAGCACCTGGTTCCCAGAAGTTTTCGCCGCTGCGCTGTCAGTCCAATTCCAAAACTCATCACCTCGGCTTAACCTCATGAAAAGGTTAGACTCCCCTTCGGTGCTGTAGCTTTTCTGCTGCCATATTTGTTTTACCTAATTTGTTGCATGGCATGAGATTCGAACAATCAACGACCGGTCAGCGAGCAATTGTCTCAATCCAGCGAGCGGCTGCTGCTGTTGCGCTCAACCAGTGCCAGAGGGACTGCCTCACTATCTCGCTAGACGTTATGGCGTGCTCACGATCGGCACGTTCAGCCAATCACACCACTATCAAAAAACACCATGTTGCGATGCCAACTGCGATGCGATATTGACACAAAGTAGCGCCATCAATTTGATTTGTATGGCTGTCAAAGTTCCCTAGCCGTCCCGGTTCGAGGTCCCGCTGCTTCGCAATCGACTGCGCGCAGCGATGGGCCACAACGCAGCACAAGTCAAACCGACTTGGTTCGACCTCTGTGGCAACCTTGGTGCACGCGATGCTCAAACGCACTCGCCGTGCATGGTCGGACAAGCAGGCAAGACTCCACTTGTCTTACAACCAAACCAAAAGAAGCCACGAACAGTCTCGGGCTCTCTTTAAATACCAGAATGCGCCTCTACTTTTGCCCACCAGAACTCACACTTACAGCGCCGGATTGGACTCACACTTCACACACGCGCAACATGCTACCCCACAGCACTGAACCCTAGCATCGACCCTCAGCACCAACCCACAGCTCCAACCCACAGTACCAACTCATGATCACCAAAATTAGTAGGATTGAAGCTGATTATTGGCCAGCCGTTCTCCCGCCATCTCAATCAGGTCAATGTGTGCACCAGTCAGCCAGCACATGAACAGGTGCTTGCACAACATGGCAGCTGCGGCTGTCTTGGTGTGTCAGACTTTCATCTCTTTAAACTGTTTTTTAATATGTATTCACTTCTCTCATTGGGTTTCACTGCACATCAGTGTTCAGCCACCGACATCCAGTTATGAGAACTTGAAAGTTAAATGTGAAACGTTGAGAAAAGGTGACAGCCATTCAAAGATATCGTCGATGGCATTCCTCGAAACGGATTCTCATATGCCACCATTTAATCATCGGATTACAAATCAGTAATTGACGGAGGCAGATCAGTGGACAATTACTGGTAAATCGAATAATGGCACAAAATTAGGTGTGATGGCATCAATTAGCGTCAAATAACATCGCAGTGGACATCGCGAAAATGCCGTTTTCCAATGGTGCACCCAGTGTCAGGTGTTTGCCCGATCATCAACAAAACGTGCACTTCAACCAAGTGCGGACAAAGAAAGGAGCAATATTGTTTATTAAATAATAAATAATATTATTGTATAATGAATAATAAAGCGTTTTTTATTCGAATGCGATAAACGTGATCTGCAGGGGTAATCAATAAGATAGGTAGACGAACAGACGAAGAAAACGCGGCGGACATTCCATCAGTTGGCAATTTTCGCTGTACCACAGTCTGCTTTTGAAAAAAAAATCCTCAATTTAGAACGTATGCAAGATGAGAATTGAAATGGCGCGAAATCGCAAATCACAGGAATAAGGGTGTCAACGGAAGATGTTAATAGCGGCGATGGCTTAACGCAGATTCAATTTGATTGTCAGTTAATTTACCAGTGTTGATTACGTCACAAGCGCTAATGCTGCATGCGCTGTCTTTAGCGCCACTCAACTCCCCATGTCGCAGGTATTTGCAAGCGCTTTTGCTGAGGCCTGCGTAACGCAAGGCGACGCCATCGCGTTTCAGAGGGTGGAGGCGGAAGGCTACATATGCGTGGTCGCGGAAGCCCTTGTCGCGCTGTACGCAACAGTGGAAGGTAATGCACTGCGCCGGCACGCCAGTGGCGTGCACTTTCCAGAAAAGTTTGTGCAACAGAGTGCTGTTCAGTACGGAAGCTTTCGAAGAACCATTCTGCGGCGGCCAGCCGTCGACATGGCGAATGAGCAAAGAGAATTTTGCTCCGCCCAGCGTGTACCACTGGCGGAAACTGGTGCACAAACACCGTTAAGAAGTTCCGATTTCTTCCAGCATTAGCCTGTGCAACAGTAATGTTAAAAAACAACGAATGACAATTTGCTGTTAGCGGCATGGAGAGATGCAGACCTTAGAGAGGAGCTTGCCATCGAAAAGGAAGGGAGAGGTGCAACACTCACTCCGCTTGCCTCAATCGTAACACAAGCCCCTGTCCTTGAGTCCACAAATGAACGTCACACCCCTCATGCGCCTCGACGCTTCATGAAAACCGCTTTGCTTGGGCTTTGCTGGGGAAGTTGGTTACTGTCTACTACTATTAGATTGCATTAGTTATTGATGATAATTGTGACGGTGAGGTAAAAATGTATGGTGACTAAGGTGAAGCGTGGTCATAGGGTGAAAATTTTATGGTGCGTAAACAGTAAATGTGGAGACAATGTGTGGTGGCGAAGACATAGGAATGGCATTGGGCTCAATTCAATGCTGTATTTGTGAGCGAACAACGCATTATGTATCCATTACGGCCTGTCTCTTGCGCCTGAGGGGGTCCGCGCAGGAGCGAGTATCAACATGGGAAACGGCGTTAATGATGATGATGATGACCAGGTGAGGACGCCGCAGCCGATTCCTTCTCCCTTGCCGATGTGTCTGAGTGCCAGAACGCCACCGTCACAACGGAGAGCATCTCCACGGTTGACGGTCAGGGGACCGCGCTGGCCGAGGGCGCGGGTGACGTCATCACGCCCTGCCAATTCCCAGAGAGCAGC